AGACCCCCCACACCCCGGCCATCGCCCTAGCCCCTCGGCCCCCGCCCATACCAACTCATCCCGCGCATCTGAATACTGGTAATGACGCTACGATGATATTTGCGTGCACGATGAGAACCTGTTGCCAATGGTTGGAAGGAAAGCTTTCGCGAAAATTGTATTCAAATGGATTCCATGCAATAAAGCACCAAAGTATTCAAAACAAATAATTTCGTAATGTTTCTCTTTTTCCTTCTTTCGCTTTTGCGTAAAAAGCATATTTATGATTTTTCATTAATAATTTAGTTATCGAAACATTAGAGTTGATTAATATACTTTTTCTTTCCGGATGTACGCTAGTTTTCAGATCGCTGTAGGGTCTCGATCTTTAAACTGGAAAATAAAAGATAGAGTTCGCTTATCAAAAATTGTCGTTCTTGTTTGATTGATTTTCACGTTAACTTTCGTGTTCACTCATGCATACGATGTTCATACACAATATTCGTACCTGCTTATAGTAATATACTAGACGAGTTTCTATAGGAGAATTATTCAGAATAGTATAATAAAAATGCGACTGCCTTCCATTTCTAGCTCCAGAGTCGGATTCATATTTATCTGCACGTCCACAATAACATAAACATCTATGAATAAAGATTTATCTACTTTTTCGTTTCGAAGGTCCGACAATAACAATTTTCCTGTCAAAAATTCACCGTTTTGCGGCGCACGATTACAATACTTTCTCTTCTTACGACGTGAGCGCGAGAAATTAAAAACGCCAGTATGAGATCAATGGGTGTGCGACATTGCAGAAAGAAGGCATTACGTAGACGGTGATAGGGAGACCAGTTTACAAGGTGAGTAGAAATATGGCAGATCTCCAAGATGCCCTTGGGTTTCTCAAAGGTTAAGGCTTCGCAGTTACTAGGCGACGGAAGTGAAAAGATGTGATCTCGAAGTACCGGCTTCCCCAGGTCCTCACATCAGTCTACACAATCAAGGGCGCACCAAGTGGGATTTCCACTTTGGGTACCAGCTTGTAGTCTCGCGCTTCACAAATGAACTCGGGACACGGCTAATAAATTGTGAAAACGTTCTTTTACAGTTTTATCTCCAAATAGTATGCATAATACGAATAAAATAAATGAGCAAATGTAATTAATGTTTTCAGTACTGCGCTTGAGTTTTTAACGTGTATGACCATTTCACTCGCGTAGTACAAAAGAATGTTATTAGGAAAAATCATATACTGAATGACTTTTACTGTAAATATGTAATATCTCCTAGAAAAGTCCACATAAATTTACTCCCAGTGTATTAATTTTCCCCAAGAGATGTACCATGTATGCTTGGTTGAATATGCAAAAGAAGGAGATATAATGCAGAAGTTCCCGTTACAGTACACAGATACAATGGCGGAATTTCGAAAGAATGAATAAAATAGCGATGATGCAAGAAAAAAGATTAGACGTAATGAAATTACTTTACTCCCTTATTCTAAAAAGGTAAAACATTTAATTATTATCTTAAATACATTTTCCGTTTCCAAAATATGTCAAGAGAAAACAATACTTGAGGAAGACTATTGTACCTTCTACAAAGTTAGTGAAATCGGAACTCTCTAGCCATTGCCAACTTACTTTTTACCAGTTCATTACCAAGTTCACGAGATACCCTTCATCACTTACGTTTCAGTTATTACGAGGAAGCGTTTTGGTTCAGATTGCTGTGTTACGCGACTGGCGAGATGACAATGGCGGTTTAATTTGTCTTTCG